TCTCAAAATTTAGCATCTAAAAAAGCTAATGCTTACAATTATGGTTGAAATACATTACCCATATCAAAATTTTATGATGGTTCCACTACCAATGATTTGGAAGATATGGGCGCGCCCAACTAGGCTTCTAAAATTACACCGAAACAGTGCTATGGCAATTGGCGCCAATCTCAGCACCGAGAGAATGACAAGTTAATTGCTTTCAAATGCTCTAAGAGCACCTTTGGGAAGCTTGGAGTTGTATGGATAAGCAATCAAAACTTTTGGATGAAGCATTGTTGTTTTCAGAGAGAGCCAGAAAAAGAAAGAAGCAAGCCAATAAAGTAACAGACTAGCAAGTGTGTCACATGCATTAGATAAAGACATGATGAAAGACCTAAATTTGGAAACAAGTTAAATCTCAACATTGAAAATATGTAGAATAGCACAAAGGTTGCCTTGCAGGTCTTTTAAGATGGGGCAGCTTGAGTTGCTTGTCCCTCCTCGGCTACAGCCTCAAAATTGCCCACAAGATCAGGGACGTCGTCGTCGTCATCATCCTCTTGTCCTGCTGTAGCACCAGCTCCAGCAGCAGGAGCCTGCTTCTGGAACTGCTCTGCCAACTTCTTTAAGTTGTCCAAGTTGTCTGGTCCTGTAATGGTACAATCTGATTAGAAACCATATAAAAGATTGCAAATATTTTTAAAAGAGAGAGCATTGTATCTGCATACCCAAATGGCTGATAATTTGAGGAAGGATATCTTGCAACTCTGCGGAGAGGAGAATCAATAAAAATCTCATCAATTCCCAAATAAACAAACTGATCAAACTTCTTAATTACCATAATACACCTAATTTTCTTGATGGGGTTTGTAGAACAGTGGGATGGCAGCATAGAAATGGCAAATTCCATTAACACAGAAAAATCTCGAGAATCAAATAAGGGACTTACTCTTAGTTTGGGGAGAACCACTAACAACCCATGTGTTGGCAGCAATAGAAGCTTGCACTGTAACATGATAAAAAAAAATAGGGTAAGAAAGACCACCTGAACCAAAAGGAGGTAAATGTGAAGGAGCTAATTAATTATCACATCCTCTATACCTTTAGGGTTTATGAACTGAATAACTACATCATCCTTAAATATGTTGACTTCTTCAATTGCAGGTATGGCATTCACTCCTATTCTCTTGAGGGTACTCTGAAGCCTTTTATCATCTGTAGTTGTTGTCTTGTGGACAGCCTTCTTCTTTCTATAAATAAAGAATATATATCATGTATAGGCAGAAAACCAAATGATAGATATAAAACATAGAAAAATGAACTTCTCTATCATAGATATAAAACAATCAAAATTGATAGCATCCAGAGCCTTGAGGTGAAAAGGACAAAAAGCAAGCACATAAAGAACAAAACACCAATATTTAAGCCAATTACAAAAAAACATAATCTAAGAGTTCTTCTGACACTTGCAACTGAACTTTCTGCTAATTTCAGAGGAAAATATTTTCAGCTCATCAAACAAAGATTCAGACCTCCTCATGGTACCCTTTCCGCCAGTGCGGACGGAATTTGCCATTTTCATAAGCTTCTCCCTATTCATCTGCAAACAAGAAAACAGCCATACGGATTAGTGACAAATTACCCAGCTCATAACATACTGCAGATTGGCATAAGCCATAAATTATTTTCTAGGGAAGGAAGAAGCCAAAATAAACAGCAAAAATTTGGTACAACACCATAGTGTCAGAAAATAGTTATGGGGCCACATTTTAATCAGTCAAAACTGTCAAACAGCCAAGAGATGACTATCTATCAACCTGTGTACGAATGAAACAAAAGCTCAATGCATAAAATTGATGGACAAAATTTTAGAGATAATGAACTTAGGTTTCCAGCAATTCACTTATCCAAGCACCCTGAACACTGAATCCAAGATAGGAAAGATTACCACACGTATTAGGAAAACTAATAGCAAGTACAGAAACCATCAAAATTAGTAACAAACAACAGCTAAAACAAGTCTATATTTGTCTATTATGCAGCTGTAACAAGATGGAAGAAAATTTCAAAGATGCCCACATAAATCTGAGAACCAGACAGTTATGAACCATTTTTAATGCACTTGAAATATCTATTCATAGCCACAACTAAGACGAACATATTAAAAAAATCGAAAACAATAGTCCAAAAAATAAATAAACACTTTAAACCTAATCATTAAACCAAGTCCATAAACAAAAAGTAATCAAACACATTAAATCAGTAGCAAATGAGTATCACGTGTCGAGACATGAAACCACAGCTTCAGCAACAACGCAAATAGCAAACTCCATACACTCAAAATCTCGAAACAACATCCTTTCACCGGATATCCACGGATTCAAGCACGAACAAACCCGAATTTCTCTTTCAAAACAAACCAGTCAGTTTACCAGACAAATACAGACCAAACCGATTCGAAGTGTACGAACAACGGACCTAAAAGTTTCGCAAAATAGATCGAGTGCGAAGTAGATCAAACAGTAACGAGCATGGAGTAAGAGGTATTTTACCTTGAAGGATTTATACAATGGGGAGGAAGGAGGGTTCTGCTCCTGCGGCTAGGGCGCAGTGGGAGTGAACGACTTAGGGTTTCGTCTATCGTATGTTGAAATCTGGCAGCCGTTTCACGGATAAGTGAAAAAAAAAAATTGGGATATTTATAGCTCTAGGGTTATAAGCAGACCTAATTTATTTATTTATTTATTTATTTATTTATTTTATATGGTGATGGGCCGAAAAGTAATTGAATTTTTTTACCGTTAAATAATTTCAGCCCAATAATACTTTCGGCCCAATATTTTAAAATAATAAAATAATTAATTAATTTTATCTAAAAAAGTTCGGATTATATATACCTATCACCGACACGGTAACCGAATGTTTAATAGCTTTACACTTTGCTTAAGTATTATGAATTGAAACTTTAACGACAATATATGTATTAGTTTATTAGTTTGATTGCAGTAATTAAATTGAATTTCGTTTTAGCGAGTCATAATTTTTTCGGGCGAAAACAACATTATATATATAATAATTATATTTTTTAATTAGGGTAAACATTATATGTTAAAATATTTTATTGATAATATAAATTTTGTTGTTTTATATTGTATTGTAAGTTAGTAATAACTGTTTTTAAATAATTTAATTATTAGTTTTTTTGTTGGATTGTAGTAATTAAATTGAATTTCGTTTTAACGAATCATAATTTTTTCGGGTGAAAACAACCCCCTATATATAAACAATTATATTATGGGTAACCATTATATACTACAAAATTTTATTAATAATATAAAATTTATTGTTTTATACTATATTATAAGTTAATAATATCCGACTTATAATAATTTAGTTATTAGTTTATTAATTGGACTACAGTAAATAAATTAAATTTCGTTTTAATGAGTTATTATTTTTTTGACAATTATATATATATATGATAATTATATTTTTTAAATTTGACAAACACTATATGTTACAAAATTTTATTAATAATATATAATTTGTTATTTTATTATGTATTATAAGTTAGTAGTATACGAGTTGTGATAATTTGGTTATTAGTTTATTAATTGGATTGCAATAATTAAATTGAACTTCATCTTAATGAATCATTATTTTTTTTGGTTGAACAAAATATTATATATATAATGGTTATATTTTTTAATTTGGATAAACTTTATATGCTAAAAATTTTTATTAATAATATAAAATTTATTGTTTTATACTGTATTATAAGTTAATGGTATCCGACTTATAGTAATATAGTTATTAGTTTATTAATTAGATTATAGTAATTAAATTAAACTTCGTTTTAATGAGTCATTATTTTTTCGAGTGAAAACAATGTCATATATATAACAATTATATTTTTTTAATTTGGTAAATACCATACGTTAAAAAAAATTGATAATATATAACTTATTATTTTATTCTGTATTATAAGTTAGTAATATACGGTTTATAATAATCTAGTCATTAGTTCATTAATTGGATTGCAATAATTAAATTGAACTTCGTTTCAGCGAGTCATTACTTTTCTGGGTGAAC